TGTAAAAAAAATTGTAATATTATATATTATTGATAATAATAATAAATCTATTATATCTGGACATACAATATATGGATCAACAGATGCAAGCGTCTGCACCATTGGGAGAAACTACAAGGAATACTGACTGGCAAAAAAGAGAAGTATCATAAATTCCACAGGAAAAAATCAGAACATAGAAATACTGCAGCCAACAAATTGGAGACATACCTCCCGGAACTTATATACAACATCCTCAAAGAAACTTACAATATTCTCAAAATTTACAAGGAACATGCTAATGGTGCCTAGGCATGTTAGTCCCTAATAAGGACAACATGCCACAAGGGTTTCAAAGGTCAAGTCCCGCCACCAACAGCGGCGGATACCCATCAGCTCAGGTAACAATTGGTTTTATTGTAATCATGTATACTAGACACATGGGAAAAATGTCTGTAATATAACCTTTATCTGACAAAGTAACATGTTTTGGTATATAATCTCAATAAAATGGGCAATGTTGCATATTAAAAAAAAAAAAAAAAAAAAAAAAAAAAAAAAAATCTATTATATATTTGATAATAATAATAAAATCTATTATATATTATTTTTATATAATATAATATAATAATTGATTTTTTTAGAGGTAATATCTTTAATGAATAATATATATTAAAATTTTTTTTTTTTTTTTTTTTTTTTTTTTTACATTAATTAATTATAATTGTCATAGTAGATATTTAAATAGTATAGAAGTTACAAGTTGAATATTATTTTATAACAAATTATACGTAAAAACATATTTAAAAAGTCAAATTCATAAATATAAGTTTTTTTTTTTAATAATATATTTGATATAATATAAAATTTTTGTATTAAAATAAAAATGTAGAAATAATAATGACAAAATAAAATAGTTTTTTAAGCAAAATTGATTTTTAGATATTCAAGTATTTTCAGTATATTTAAGTTTGATTTAGTTTAGATACTGTAAAATTTTATAACCTTAATATATTAAGAATTTTTTTTTTTTTAGACCGCTGTATATCGTTTTATTAATAATTCAGTTTCTGTAGGTCACCACTGCAGTGATGGTGGCTAAAGATTAAAAAGGAAACAAAATATTATTTCCGAAATTACATCTACAGATATTAGTTTCAATAGATAAGTTGATTTGTAAAAATCATTAATACAATAAAGACAAACTATTTCGACCTGACTGTGGGTTAAAAACAAGTAACAAGCAAATCAATTTGTTATTGTATATTTACTGTATTTTAGTATAACAAACTACGCAAATGCACCTTACAAAAAAAAAATATATATTAATAAGCCAGAATAGTAGATTCTAGAAAATATGCCTAAGGTTGCAAGATTATTAAAAAACGTTTTTATGTTCAGAAAGTTAATATCGGAAATGAGCATTGGCATAGATGCAATTTTCTCACACTTAGAACTTAACTATATTTATTATTAAAAAGCCAACAATACGCGCATATACATAATAAATATGCAATAATTTTCTGTTTGTAAATAAAAGTAATAACATATTAGCATTTTACGAGTAAACTTGAATAATAATGAAGATAAAGCGCACCTTCATTTTCCATATGCTAGACAACACTCCAATAAGATCACTCATATCTTAACTGTAGCTGGTAACCCATATAGCTCATATCGTTTTAATATATTGATGCATATCCCTTAGCCCGTAAGACTTGTGAAACGACACAAAGAACCGCATAACTTACAGTATTTACGAACCCAAATGAATAAAGCCTGCAACTTTCTTATTTTTTTTCCTTCAAAACCAACTGATTAACACAAGCACGTAAAGATGTCGCGCATGGATTTGCCAAGCTTAAATCCATGGGTCAATATCTTTGTTTCATCAAATTCCTTTGCCTGTTTCAGTTGCTCCATAGTCGACCTTATTAAATAAATTTATAAATCTTCTTTCTATCTTATATACACGTTCTCAACTCCGATTTCTTCTCGTGAATTATTCCAGTACTCCCTGACTTGATGGTTCTTTTCTATAAGAAAAGTAGAAAGTTTAAGGTAATTGCAGAAATCCTATGTTATTAAAATCCCGTAAAATATTTCCAACAAAGAAAAATACTCACAACTCTCTCATAACGAACTCGACCCATTCGGCATCGTGTTTTTGGCGATCATAAGGTTCACCTTTGTTCCGGAAGGACGTTGTATCCAAGACTTGCCTTAGCTCACTTGTTGTTTCAACCCAAAATCCACAATGTTATACACGTTTGAGTAATTAATATATTTACATATCTTCAACTCACATTGGCAAATCTCATCATAGATTCTGTGAATGCTTCGTCCACTTCAGGGAATTTTAAGTCTTCATTCTTAATTTCATCCCACTCTTCTACGGTAAATAAACTTTCCGTGTCTTCGTCTCTAATATCAATAATCCATGAGTGCAAGTATGTTTCGGTAGGTAATATCCTAGAGTGTCTAAAAATCGTGTCCTCAACACATTTTCCAGATTTGAGAATCCAATTTTGATCTTCGCTCATTTTCTCAAAGAACTTATAAAAAACATCGAGTGGTAGCATCTTGCGATCGAAAATACAATCTCAAACACAAATCTAGGTAGAAGAGTGGTACGATTTGACGAGTTTTCAAAGGACAAATCCGATGATTTTTATAACTTCTTTACGTAATTATTTCGTTGGCCTCTTTTTACCTTGCTATCCTCACTGTTCCCACATAAGTCATATGCGTGCGCTGACCAAACCGCGATTGATGACATAATCGTGTCGCATCGCTTTTGTCACTGATAAAGCGCGTAGATAGAATTTCGAAGATAACGAAATTCATAAGGCACATAGCATGGGTACCAGGTACACGCATTCGGAGCAAAGATGCGACGTTCCTTGGATTCCGGGGAATAGAGTGTAAACAATCGACCAGATAAACTATCGGGAAGAAATATTAAAGGCAAATTTACAGTGTACACGAATTCTATAAATCCTATAATTCGTAATTAATTTTATTTTATACATTGTATTTGAAATATTCATCCGAATACATAATGCGAAAAAAAAAAAAAAAAAAAGTCAGAAGACGGCAGATGCAATGACTAAAAGTGGCCCCGTGCAGCGAGGAAAGAGTCGACAACTTTGACTTGATTGAGACGATTTGCAACTCCATCAATAATTTCATTCGTAATCCTTTTTCGATTCATGAAAAATTATTTGATGGTTATAATAAATACCACTCCAGTTAAACAGTTTTAAAAAATTATTTTTCAAGGATCCTCGCGACAGAATTCTGTGAAGGTTACTCAAATCTTTATTAGAATTTTTTGGGCCCAAACTTGCAAGTGACCAATCTTCAGATCCTAATAAATACAGTATAATGAGGGTCCTTTTGATGGTTTCCGTTTTCCAGTTTAAGATGATTTCTGTGTGACCAATGTCAAGTTCGATTTCGTTACAAACAGGAATATATCAGGAATATACGGCCAAATAATTTATTTTGAATGCGCGATCTCGTGCTTAACTTACAAAGAAATAGGAATGCTACTAAGCAAGAGTACGTGACGTATGTGATCTATCAATTATTAGTGGTGGGTCGCTTAATATAAGGTTTTGAGGGATCCTCGGCCAAAACCTTTGGCGGTTTGAATTCGCCTCCTAACTTCTTCTTCTTTTTCGAATTCGAACCACCACCCTTTTTTGTTTGAAAGTCCCTCCAATTGTTAACTCTCTGTTCCCTGGTTTCCTCCCATAACTTTTCTTCCTCAGCCTTTCTCTTCTTCTCTTTTTCAATCTGCTCGGCTTTTTTGGCTGCCAGACCTTGAGCCTCCAATTCTCTTTTTAGAGATTTCCGCCGGCGCAACTCATGCTCTATTAATATATCTTTAATTTTTTTGTTTGATTTGTAAATTAAATTGGGGCGTGTCAATAATTGGATCTGTGGTTTTTAGCTTTTGTTCGCTGATTAGAGTCACTTTAGCTTCTTCAACTATCGCTAAAAGGAATTGTCGTGATTTCTCGTTAGACAATTCCATCTCCGCCTGGAGGTTAAATGGATCAAGCAGTTTAAACATTTTTTTTTTTGGTTTTGGTTTTGGTTTTTGGTTTGGTTTGGTTTTTTTTTTTTTTTTTTTGTAAAATCAGGTTACCTAATACTCTATTCTTCACGGCCAATGCACGAAAGCAATAAAAAACTTGTTACTAGAAATCCTACCTTCTTCAGTAATGCAAATGCTTCCTGTGCTTTCGGATGTTTGGTTTTGTCGGGATGAATGAGTAGGGATTTTTTTCGGTATGCATTTTTTATATCTTTCTCGGTACAATCTGGTGCTAGGTCCAGAATGTCAAAAGGATTCAACTTAAACGCTGTCAAAATACGTTCGACTTCTTGATCTTTTTGGAGCTGGCTGGCCTCGGTTGCAAGATATTTATCAATATCCAGATCTTCGGACATTCTAAACGAAAGAAAAGGGTAATGTTTTAAGATTGACCAATCAACAAATTCACGAATTTAATTTTAGAAACTAGTGTTACACGGAGGGTGTCACCACCTCGTATACCATTAAGGTTTTGCCACGTTTCATATATTCGACATAAATTCACGAATTCTCGGAATCCAAATTTTCAAACTCCACCTTATTTTTTTATCAAAATATCAAAAATAATAGTAATAATGAAGAAATCCATCATTCTTCTCACAGTTGGCCTTTTGGCTATATCCACCTTTGCATCGGCTGACATATATTTAAAAGAAACATTCTCCGACGACGAATGGGCAAAGGTATTATCGCATGTCCAAAATGCATATTTATGATAATTTTGCTCTCTCTCTCTCTCTCTCTCTTTTCTTTTTTTTAAACACAAATTCCATATCTCATTGCAGCGTTGGACTCAGTCCGAACATCGCGATGACCTTGGTAAATTCGAGGTGTCAGCAGGGCTATTCTATGCAGACGAGAAGGAGTCTCGCGGACTTAAAACTATGCAAGACGCAAAGTTTTATGCCATATCTACGAAACTGGACAAGGTATTGGACAACACCGAAAAGGATTTGGGTATGTCGCTTTTGCTAATTTAGAAGAGAGTAAGAAAAAATTCCTTAGAATTCATGACACGACTACATTCATTCTTTGTATAGTTGTTCAATTCTCCGTGAAGCATGAACAAAACATCGATTGCGGTGGTGGATACGTTAAGGTGAGGATGATAATACATGCATAACCGAACCGACGTGTATCTAACTAGGTTATTTTACGATCCTA